CTGCTGTCGTGGGGGGGGGAGGGGGTGGGGGGGGGGGGATTCCCTGCAGGGACCCGTGAGTAACAGTCACGGCTCTCTGCAGGGATAGATCGAGAAGTGAGCGAGCGACGATATGTGTTTGCTCACTTCCCGATCTATTGAGTTTCATTGTCACAGGTCGGCTAGAACTATGAGGCTGAGTGATTTTCACTCACCTCATAATTCTCCTTTAAGAAGTTTGTTAATATGAGAAGGGCAATTATTAAGCGTCTGAAGAGAAGCAAAGGAATTGAGATCAAAAGAGAATATTGATCCAAAGAAAGATCAAAGTCAACATAGAATAGTAAGAAGGGAGGATAAAGAGGAGGAGTAGGGGTAAGGAGGGCGGCAACTGGGTCTTTAAAGTGTGCAGGAGAGGGGCTTCAAACCTACAGGGCTGATAGGCGGTTTGGGGATAGGGAGGGATGGGCGTAGTCGATCCATGGTTGCCAGATTTTCATAAATGTTTTTATTAGAGTCTAGAAGGATGCTCGTTATTATCTCATTCAGAAAGAAGAAATCCACCCGCCTTTTAACTTCGTCAAACGATGCAAATAGTTTTTTCCAAGCAGAGGCAATAGCTTGTTTAGCAGCCAGCAGGACGTGTGGCTAGGCGGTGTTGATTCCTAGTGAGAAGCAGAGATTTGAGATATATTAAGGCCAAATAAGGGTCCTTACAGAGTGGTACTGAAAACAAAGTGCTCAGTAAGTGGAACACTTTAGTCCAAAATCTGGCAAGCATGGTGCAGGTCCACCACGTGTGGAGGGCATCACCCTAGGATGGGCAATCTCGGAAACAGGTTGAGGAGTTTGAGGGATAGAGGTGAGCTAGTCTAGACGGTACCAAATACCACCTTGTAACGGATTTAAAGGAGAACTATGGGGTCAGTGCTTTTCCCCATAGTTCTCCTAAGGGTAACGGGAGGACACAAACTAGCGCCCTCCCGTCACCCAAAGCTCAGTATACTGAGACGCCGCAGCCGGGACGGATCCTGACAATACTGTCTGGATCCACCCAGCTGCGTGAGTGACAGCTGGCTCTGCCTATCTAGAGGCAGAGCCAGCTGTACTCGCCCCCTCCCCTGTCCGTTCCGCCAGTCAGCGCTGGAGGATCGGACAGGGAAGGGGGGGAATCCCTGCAGAGAGCCCTGGGTGACAGTCATGGCTCTCTGCAGGCACAGGATCGAGAAGTGAGTGAGCAACGGTATGTGTTCGCTCACTTCCCGATCTATTGAGCCGACGTGTGACAGTTTAATTGTCACACGTCGGCTCGAACTATGAGGCTGAGTGATTTTCACTCGCCTCATAGTTCTCCTTTAAAAGTGGTCTCCAATGAGGATACGTTGATTGTACAGGTAGCTGTGGAGGTCCAAATTTGATGCCAGGCGTCCGGCGGCTGTGAGGTCCCAAGTTCCCATTCCCATCTAGTGACGTAAGCGTGCTTGCTAGGGGATGACAGTGTGTTCAGGTGGGAATATATTAGGAGAAATTAGTTTAGGGCTAGTAGGGTTAAGCTTAAATATGTGAAGGGAGTGAAGTGCCCCAGTGTCTAAGCTGCAGATACCAAAAATATTTGGATGATGGGGCTTGCAGTGTGCCCCTAAAGTAATCCCACTTGCGGATTGAACCATCAGTCAGCAGATCACATAAGTAAGTTAGACCATGGGAGAACCACCATGCAAACGCAGTGGGGGAGTCAAGGTTAGGTGGGAACAGTGGATTGCCTAATATGGTAAGTAATGGTAGTGGTGTCCTATAATTTAAGGATGTGGGTTAAGAGGGAGCTCATTGAGGGAGGGCGAAGTCGGGAAGGCAACCATGGCAAGGAGCATAGGGAGATCGGGGAGCATGATGTAGCCTCCAGTTCCACCCCTAACGGGCAACAAGGAGACTAGATAAAGCACACTAAAGGGGCTATTTGTGTTGCTTGGTAATATTTATAAAAGTTAGGGAGACCCAGACCGCCACCCCGTTTATGGCCATACAGCGTAAATCTAGGGATTCTGGGGCGTTTAGTCCAACTCTGGCCATTTCCTCCAATCCTGAGCATCTCTTACCTTGACGCTCCACCCTTCCATCCCATCTTAAGAAGTAAATACATCTCACGGAGATGAGGGGAGGGCAATGGGTTGGAGGAGCGCCAGCAGTTAACCCCTTCCTATGACAAAGCCTAGGGAAGGGGATAAGCGCTGCATACCATCAATATCATGGAGAGGAGATTGCTTTACCTGGGTTCTGTGGGGTAGTAGTCCCACAGAGTTTAACAATAAGCCAAAAACCAACACCAAGGTGCCTAGGCACCAAAAAATCCATAAATCCAATAAGAAAAAACAAAAGAAAAATCAATTACATCCATAGAATATCATTGCACATATTGACTGAAGTATATATATATAATTGTGACAAAGTATAAAGTATATACTTTATACATATCAATGTATCTCATAATATATGATTCCTAAGTTTACATATGATGTTTTATACTGACTTAGTAACCATATATGCAACTTTATGGTCACTTAGACAGATTGTTTCCATGAACTGGAAAACCATCAAATTAGTACTGATATAAGGTAAACAAATGGTCTATGGAAGCACAATTTTTTATGTTGGGATGAAACAAACAAACAAAAAAATTAATTGCTCCAGCACAGCAGTCATAGAAAGCGTTATGAGGCTGTAGACACAAGATTGCCTAGATACCTTCACATTCCAGGAGATGCTCTGCTATGAGGCTGTAAATACAGGAGTGCCTAGGCACCTTCACATACCAGGAAGTGTTCTGCTATGAGGCTGTAGACACAGGAGTGCCTAGGAACCCTCACATACCAGGAAGTGCACTTTTATGAGGCTGTGGACACAAGATTGTCTAAGTACCCTCCAATACCAGGAGGTGCTCTGCTATGAGGGTGTAGACACAGGAGCACCTAGGCACCATTAAATACTAGGAACTGCACTGCTATGAAGCTGTAGGCAAAGGAGTGCATAGGCACCATCACATACCAGGAAGTGCACTTCTATGAGGCTGTAAATAAAGGAGTGCCTAGGCACCATCACATACCAGGAAGTGCACTTCTATGAGACTGTGAATACAGGAGTGCCTAGGCACTCTCACATACCAGGAAGTGCTCTGCTATGAGGCT